TTCCTCTTTTAGCCCTTTCCAGGCCTTCCTTGATGTAAATAAATTTGTTCGTAAAGTTACATTAAAAAGATTTTTTATTAGCAAAACAGATGACACACCAATTTCTACTCCTTTACCACAAGTCAATGGTTTTATAAACACACATCTTAAAGAAAGTTTTATCCATCTGCCCCTTTGATTTTATTTGAAAAATTTGTCCAAAAGGACTTTGAAAAAATCAAATACAACAAGTATGATGCAAATAATTTAACTAATGCTGAAAGGAAGGCTATAAAAGAACTTCAAGAGGACAAAGATATTGTCATAAAATCAGCCGATAAAGGTGGCGGAGTAGTTATACAATCCAGTAAAATGTATATTGATGAAGCTCTAAGGCAACTAGAAGATAAAAATGTATATGAAAAACTTCTCTCTGATCCCACAAAAAATATACAAATCATTTTACCTACTTTTTTAAACAAAGGGCTTAACTTAAATATTTTAAACAAACAAGAATTTTAAATTTTTAAACAAAGAATTTCCCATTACTCCTGTTATTTATTTCCTTCCAAAAATCCACAAAGATGAAAACCATCCCCCAGGGAGACCCATTGTCTCTGGGATTAGATCTCTTTTATGTAACCTTTCTCAATATATAGACACCCTCCTTCAGTTAAATTAATGAAATCTTATTTAAAAGACTCTATGTCACTTTTAAATTTTTTAAACAATTTTATTTGGAAACCCAATTTTATAATAGTTACCTGTGACGTCCAGTCTCTTTATACAATCATCCCTCACGATATTGGATGCCAGGCTATTGAAAGGATCCTTACTCTTGAAGGTAATATTCCTGCCATTCAGATTGATTTTATAATAGAAGGAATAAATATAATTTAAAAAAATAATACATTTTGGTTTTTAGATTCTTTTTATCTTCAAAAGAGGGGTAACGCTATGGGTACTAGGTTTGCCCCCAGCTATGCCAATTTATTTATGGCGGACTGGGAATCTGAAGCTGTCTGGGGCAACCATGTCTGGCGGGCAAACCTAGTCTCATATTTTAGATATATAGATGATCTGTTTTTTATCTGGGAAGGACCAGAAGATACTCTTATTGCTTTTATTAACGATCTTAATACTAACAATAGGGGTATCATCCTCAAACATGAATATAGTAAAGAATCTATAAACTTCTTAGACCTCAACATTTTTATTAAGGAAGGACAACTCCACACAAAAGGTATGTATTAACACGGCTATTGACAAAACCAGTTGTCACTACAAGCCCTGGCTTGAGAGTGCCCCCAAAAGCCAATTCCTACGTCTCCGTAGGAATTGTTCAGAAATAACAGATTTTAATGAACAAGCTAATATTTTAAAAAATAAATTTATGGAAAAAAGGTATTAAGAGTCAGATCTTAATAATACAATTAATACAGTCAAACAAAAAAGAACGTAAAGATCTTCTGGTTTACAAAAATAAAGAAAAAGATGAAGCTATATCCCTTCCTGTAATTTTAATAACAAAAGTAACAAAGTTAAAAAAATAATAAAAAAACACTGGCAGATACTCAAAGAAGATGATATTCTTAATCCAATTTTACCTAATCAGCCAAATATTGTTTTTAGAGGTACCCCTAATTTCAAATCCATTTTAACTACCAATTTTACCCGTGTATCCCCTGTTAATAATTTTACTTTTTTCCCTCAGACAAAAGGCTTTTACAAATGTAAACAATGTATAGTGTGTTGTTGGGGATAAAATCAGCCTGGCCCTTTGTGGATGATGGATATTTGCCAACTCATACAGAGCTCTGGAAATTGGAAATGAATAGCAGAGACGTGTTCAATAACCAATTCAAATTGTATTCATACGTCAGTTATATTTATACCCCATTTTCATAGCAGGATGGGAGGGGGAAAAATGAGCATATGGGCGTGACAATGACATTGTTTTTCACAAGTTATAAACAGCTGTTTTTAGTTATAATTCGATGTTACATAATGTATGCATATTGGATAAAACCCAGATGATTACAAATACCAAAATCTTGGACAATTAACAAGGTCATTCCAGAATCCTTATCATGTCATGTCATGTCATGTAAATAACAAAATCATGTTCCAATAACATTTCCCGTAAATAGATAAGTCATTGTGACATGAGATACAATTCCAAATTTATTCTTGATTCAAATTAACCCTTACATGAACAGTTAGGATATAGAGCAAAATGGATATTCATATCCTACAATTCCTCTCTTTAGATCATATCGTGATCTACCTTATGGAATATCCATGGGAGGCCTGCGGCAGAGAAACGAAAGGAGGTATATTCAGACGTGCTAATCACGTCTGCGGGACTTTCCTTATTTCTTCACCTCGATTTCCCCCATTTGCTCTATGCCGTAGGTTTTCCCTTTAAAATGCCTTGTATGGATGAGAGAAGCACTCATTCTATATAAATGCTTGTTGAGTACTAAAACACTAACATATACATATTGGTATAATTCCCAATAAAATGCTGTTCTTAAACTTAAACCTTGATTTGATAATCTCAATTAATTACTTTAATAAAATTTTGTGGACCCTGATAACATCTTTGGAAACCCAAACCTTTTATAGATCCCAATGTGTGTGATCATGTTTTAATACATGTTGGAACCTCCATACAGTTATCCCACTTAAACAATATATTTTTTTTTCAGAACAACTAGGAATGAAATAGGAGAAACAAAATAAATTACTATTGTTCTAAAGTGCTTTGTTTAATACAGGTTTAGGAAGAGTTGTCTTGCTGTGTTGCAAGTGGCCTCTGATAAGGAAGGGACAGCAAACTGTAGACATATGTTATATTAAGTTGCTCTCACTTGTCAGGTCTTGGAAACCCACTTAATTTATTGCAGATGCCTCTATTATACCACTTTACAAATTGACTAAGCATACTTATTATCCTATTTTATTTTAGTTATTTCACATTGCACAGCCTATGCAAACAATGTCTAGGTCCCAACTTCAACTTGTACATCCTCTAAGAGCCAGCATTAATACTGTTTTATCTATCAAAACTATATATAAAGTATTAAAAACATGAACCATCTGTGTATTAGGCTGAGGTTGTTGGGTGTGGGTATAGCTTGAAAGTTGTGGTTGGTATTGAGGAACCTGCCAGGGTGGGAGTCCTTGAATGCCAGCTGGGCCAGGAGAACACAAGCACCTTGGGGTGAATCCCTGCTACCCACAATTAAAACAGTGCTGAAGTTACCATCTCTACAAAAGTTAAATCCTTTGATCAAATTCTCTACCTCTGCCTCTAAAACTTTTCTGATTCAATCTATCACCTCCAAACTTTCTTTGTCTCGCCTGCTTAAGATCACAATCCTTTTGTGACCGATACAACATACTTTTCCCTCTTTCTTTATATCAAAACAACCTGCTGTATCTTTCTCATGAATCTTCCCAAGAAATTCAGTTCAAAGAGGGCCAGTCACAGACCAACAGTTTGACCAAAAGTGAACAAGGAGGAAGCATATTCCATATGAAGGTCGAGATGACTTAACTCACACCCCCTCTTTGTGTACACCTATTTGTGTACCACACAGATATAATATTAATAAGCTTTTGAAGATTTATTGTGTTTGTATAGCACGGTTGTCTAGGGGTGTATACATAAACAGTGAAAGCAGAGTCTTCATATGGGGTTTGCAATACTGACAGTCTGGGTCATAGGTGTAATACAGACATGCGGTTAGGAACTTTTCCATTGTCAGAACACTAATATATTGCAAATATTAAAATCATATTGCAGCTGTTTCCTATACCTGCAAGGATATGGTTGTAATACTTCAATTGAGTTCAAATTGAGTATCAAAAATTCTAACCACAAAAACTAAATTTTATATGCTTATCAAAATGAGTTTAACCCCTTAGTAATTTAATAGGGTGACCTCTTCCCATAGTATGGTTCCTTTTATTATTATTATATTATTTATTCTCTTCTGGGTCTGCAAAATGCTTTCAATATACCAATACAAATATAATACAGTAGTTTAGAATTGCCTCAAAAGAAATTATCTGATCTCTATTAAAATACCATTTCATCATTTTCCTATAATCAATGAGGCATACTAGATGAATCTTAATCTTGGAAAAAACCTATCCTATACATCCATAATTTTTCTTGTTATATAACCATATAACGTAACACATTTTTCTTTTCTTAAATAATGCAATGCACTTTAAAAGTAGCGTTAACTCTAAATACTCCCCTAATAATACTGAAACGTGGATCCACGATTTTGAAAAGCAAATGATATATTTTTTCTTTTTCTTTCCCAGGGGCCCCTTTCTTGTTGGCTGATCAGCGTTTTTTTAATCTGTTGTAAAAAGACACTAAAGGCTTGCGTTAATGACATGCAAATATTCTTTAAATATTCTTCATACTCATTGTAATATCACACATCATCTTATAGCACAGAAAACATGTAGCAGATATCCAGCAGACATGCCAATACAAAAAGCATATTCATGGACAGGCAATTAACTCAATCCAAAATAAATTGATAAATGTCACACTATGTGACAGACATAATTTGGTTCTCATGTTTGTGCAATATGCATGTCTGCAAACAATGCAAGCAGTACTGCTTTAAGATTAGATCAGAGCACCTGGCAACTGGACAGGAAAGTCAAATTTTGGCAGGAAGTCCATTATTGCAACAGAATTTTGGAAATCAGCTAAAATTTACAAAAACAGACTCCCTCTTTTTTTTCTTTCTTAAGACTACAACTCATATTGCTCTTGGACAAGTATTCAATAATAAATCAGTTATTTAATAGATTATTACGCTGCCATTTTCATCTGTATCAATACTAAGACAAACTTATTCAAATATAATTTAAAATAACACAGCAAAATACCCATTAACATACATGACAATTAAACTGCACACTTCAAAATGAGTAACCAAAACAAACATTTATGACAATCATCATTCACACAGAATAAACTTCTAACAGCTGCATTCAGAACATATTATTGTAAGGTATACCAATTTTAGTTTGTATTGGATTTATTTAAGATTTCTGGTACCAAAGGGTTTATTTTTTATTTTTTACAGAAGGGATCCCGTACGGCCATATAACGCGTTTGACTTAAACATTTGTATAACACTTGCATTAACCAGTTGCAACATATGAAACCTGTCAATGGAATTTCTCTCTTATACGCTTATAGAACATTTGGACCAGATTACACAGACATGGTATCACCTGCATTTGTCAGAACTCTCAAAGACTCAAAATATTTATACTACTCCATGTTAAAGGCATGGCAAAATTTTGACCGGTCAATTTGAGTTTCCAAAAGTCATATCAACACAGGTAAAAACCTTTGGCCATGGTTTTCTGATCCTATATTCCATGACCAAAATTTCAAACCCACTTCTTCACAGTTTGGGTCGCAAGCAATAAAATCTCAGCAACCCCATACAACAATTTACAGAATACATACAATTTAAAGCACATACAACATGTGACATACTGGAATACTACAAGTTAGCTTACAGCACAATATGAAGCATGTGTTGGAACGCTGAAAATATACATTTTGCTCTCTTCTAAATTTACAACATAAGTTCTCTGCAACAAACACACAGGGCAGAAAGAATGTGGTGTTTGACGTTTTGAATGAAGTGACTTTTTGTCCCAATATGAAAATAAAGGGCTCATCATATAAACAATCATACATCCCACTCTCATGAAAAAGTGTAGTGGGCTTATAGTACTTTTGACCAAGTATAAAAATAAAGGGCTCATTATGCAAACATACATACATGCAGAGAAATCATGTTAGTTCTAGAATTTGTAGCCCCCCTTAAATAACCTCTATTATTCATCATCACCTTTACATGTACTTTTTACATTCCCTCAATTAAGACTTTATGCTTAAAATCAGCGTTGCACATCATAAAATAGCACATAAATTAGCAAGCCGGAGTAATGCCAAACATCCATCATACCTTTTAACCCCCCTTTTTTTTTTTTAAACCATTGTAGTCTGCAAAATTGACATCTACGTTAAATAAATACCATAGTCCACCAAAGACTGGAAATCTGTTTTATAACCTACCAAAGGCAACCTCTACCAAAGAGGGATCTAGGGACGTCTCCCATATGTAAGTGTACATCACAGGTACATCACAGCCTACCAAAGGCTTGAAATTATTTTTAACACCTGGCCAAAGGTGAACCTCTTACCAAAGAGGAAATGTGCACAATAACTACTACTACCTACCAAAGGCAATCCTCCAACCCGTGGAGTAATAGAAGTCTACCTAAGACTTAACAAAATACCATGTCTACCAAAGACATTATCCTGTGAAAATCCCCTTTAAAAATGTAAATAGTGAAAAACCCCATTAAAACAAGAAATGCAATGTGTGGGAGGATGGCAGAAGCAGGCAAAGGTCCCCAACCCCTTAAGGACACACGACAGAAATACTCCATCATGATACCCTTAAATTCCAGAAGTTGTGTCCCCAAGGGGCTAAAGACCCCCTTACCTGCAACTCCGTTCCTAATTGCACCCAAACTTCTGACACCAATTTGTTGGGGATAAAATCAGCCTGGCCCTTTGTGGATGATGGATATTTGCCAACTCATACAGAGCTCTGGAAATTGGAAATGAATAGCAGAGACGTGTTCAATAACCAATTCAAATTGTATTCATACGTCAGTTATATTTATACCCCATTTTCATAGCAGGATGGGAGGGGGAAAATGAGCATATGGGCGTGACAATGACATTGTTTTTCACAAGTTATAAACATCTGTTTTTAGTTATAATTCGATGTTACATAATGTATGCATATTGGATAAAACCCAGATGATTACAAATACCGAAATCTTGGACAATTAACAAGGTCATTCCAGAATCCTTATCATGTCATGTCATGTCATGTAAATAACAAAATCATGTTCCAATAACATTTCCCGTAAATAGATAAGTCATTGTGACATGAGATACAATTCCAAATTTATTCTTGATTCAAATTAACCCTTACATGAACAGTTAGGATATAGAGCAAAATGGATATTCATATCCTACATGTGTAGAACTACAGATTCGTCCACTCCATCTAAGGTGACTCAGTTTATGTCTAATAGGACTTATAAAGTGTATAACATTTATGATTTTATCGGCTGCAACACAAATTTTTTTATTTATCTGCTCGAATGCCCATGTGGTCTCCAACATGTGGGGATGACCACAAGGTGCTTAAAAACTAGATTGAGTGAACATTGCAGAAATATAAAAAATGGATACGTAAACCATACAGTATCCAAACATTTTATTAAGCACAACAAAGACCCCAAATTATTAAAATGTATGGGCATAAAAAAATGTTCTACCGCCTGGCGTGGAGGAGACATAAAAAAACTACTTGGAAAAATAGAAATTGAATGGGTGTATAATCTTAAGACTCTTATACCCCATGGCCTCAATGCAGATTTTGATCTTCATAATTTTCTATAACCAAAAGATAACCAATATGTCTGTATTATACACATGCCTTTTATCCTGTTGTTTTTCCACATTGTTTTATTATTGTTTTAATGTATATTATGTGTTATATATTATGTATTATATATTATATATGTTATATGTTATGTATTACATTTTATATATTTTATATTTTACATTTTATTTTATCTTTTTTCATCCCTATTTTAATGGCATATTAATTTATATACATAGAGTATATCCTTCTTATAGTCTTATTGTCCCACAGTATCCTAACATTTACATATGTGTATAATCACTATTCTGTTATTAATGTTATTTTTACCTATAGTGTCCCTCTTAAAATGGCCACTACTGTTACTATTCTTTGCCCCCTCCAAGATGGCTGTTGCTTAAACTTATGGCCAGCATTTGCGGCCACTAAACTACACCTCCCATGAGGCTTTGCGGCAATGCGTTTGAAAACCGGACAAATTATCCCACGCTAAGGTTCAAAATTTGCCTTTTGAAATACCCTTGGGCGTCTTCTTTAATAAATAGTATGCCTTTTTGGGGTAGTTGGAAAAAGCAGCCTGCTAACATATTTAAAAATAGAATACGGACCCATTAAAACTCTCCATGTAAATTCACACTTAAAAACCTGAACTTGTCACGTCTCTTTCACAGCACTGTAACTTCACAAAATAGTGTCTAGGTCATACATTGGGCTTATTGTTTTACTCAGAAGAGGTAACAGAGCATATTTAGGGGGAATTTATGACAGTGGCACTTATCAAATGTAGAAATACCCAGTGAAAATGCAACATGTATGTAAAAAAATAAAAAATAAAATTTCTCACCACAAAATTTGAAATAAATTGGTGAAAAAATGGTGGCAAGTTAAGGTATAATATATGCTTAATAACATACCCTGGAGTGCCTGCTTTCTCAAATGGAAGGCCTTTGTGGGGTTATTTGAACAGTCAAATGGCTACAATGCCACAAAATCAGACATATGACCATCTATGAAAATTCCAACTATAGAAATTGAAATAGCATGGTCTCCTATATGCCATTGCAGCTTCACAGAATAGGGGCAAAGATATACAATGGGGGTATGGTTTTACTCAGCAGATGTAGCTGAACACAATATGGGGTTCTGTACAGGGATAGCACACACTAGGTTTACGAAATACACATTACAAAAACCTTGTAATATGTGTATATGCCAAAATAGAGAAAAAAATTTAATTTTACTCCAATATTTAGCAGAGATTGGCGGTGAAATGGCTACGCAAAAAGTGTCAAATTAACCTTAGATAAATAGCCTGTGATGTCTACTTTATATAAATATATACTTTTGTGTGGCAATTTTGTTTCCTGTAATGGGTATTAAACTTCCAAGACAAACATACAAACTTCTAAAATTGTTTCACATTGAAATTTTATTTTAGACCTTGTAGTTTGTGACCTGTAACTTTCAAAATAAACTGAAATCCTACACATATTATGCACTTTGTAAATCAAGACACATAAATGAATTGATTTTGAATTACTTTTCCTAAGCTGGACATATTATGCACACATTATTATTGCCAAAACTTGGGGAAAAAAAGCATTTTTTTTGTTTTTTTTCCACATTATTTTGCATTTTTTTTGGTAATTAATAAGAATTTATATATGTATCTGTCATAATGAGAGCCCTTTTTGTTGTCTAAAAACCGGTATATAATATGTGTTGGTACAATAAGTGAGAGAGATGCAAATTGCATTTGAACACAAACAGCAAAAAATGCAAAAATTGCTTGTGTCCTTAAGGCTTCTGAAGCTGGGTCCTTAAGGGGTTAAGAATATCAGATTTTAAGATGTGTGGAATTGTGCTTTCACTAATCATACATCTATCAATACGTGAGTATATATTGTACTGCGTCAAATGAAAAGTAAAATCTTTTTCCCCTTCATGAAGTAATCTCCATGAATCATATAAGCCATTGGTAAACATACATTTGGAACATATTTCAGCCAAATGAACTTTATCTGACCTTTCTGGCATATCTGTTTTTCACTTATTATATATGTATAAACATATAGTCTACAATAAAAAGGATAAAGAGGACCACAAATAGTGTAATAAATTACAACACCATAAAAGCACTCAAAATATATTGCACTCACAAACTAAACATTGATTGCATGAAGAACTATATTTAAGACAGCATGGCCTTCTTTCTTTCCTTATGCCAAGTTAAAGGGACACACCACTGCCCAACTAAAAACAACAAAAAAAAATCACTGTTTGGTAGATATGCTCCACATGAAAACTTGCATACATTTAATTATGCTGTTGTTTTTAAATTAGAGTTATATCTAACAATGGCTTTCAAAAACTTATCTGCTGCCTTTGCAAGCCCTCCTCTTCTAACCCCGCCCAGACTTTGTGTGACCGTTCAATCACAGGCTTTCCAATGTTACTCAATGACAGGTGCCCCCTCACCCTGCAAGAAGCAGCACGGCTTGCAGACGAATATACGGATGCCCGCAAGCCGGAACGACCATCCCTCAGACCTCAACCAGCATGGGTTGAGCCACCAGCAGGGGGCAACTATCCACCACAACTGTCAGGGGGCAACTATTCACCACCACAGCGAGCCCTAGCAGCCATTAGTCGACCTCCCCAGACTACGGGACCCAGATGTTTCCGGTGCAAGCAGTTGGGACACTACCGCAGGGATTGCCCAATGGAACCTACCCAATCTACGTGGAATCGTCCATCCGGTACCAGCTCCCGACCAGCAGTGCACACCATCAACTACCCCGTGTCCTCTACCTGGGAGGCCCGGGAGTTAACCAGGGAGGAGCCCTTGGGGTTCCTTCATGAGGCCAACCCGTTCCAGGCCGGAGATAATCGACAAGACCACCGACAACTAGTGATGGTTAATGGCTAGACAGTGCAAGGCCTACGAGATACAGGAGCCACCATCACCCTAGTACAGAGATACTTGCTCAACAACCACTAGCCACCCAGCAAATCCACCGCTATCCAGGTAGCAGGGGGAGCCGTCTACAGGATTCCTGCCGGCCAGGTTCATTTGGATTGCGGTGTGGGGTTTGGAACTGTGAAAGTGGGGGTCATGAAGGATTTGCCTGCAGATGTGATCCTCGGAAATGACTTAGGTCCACTTACTTCCGCCTATATGCCTACACCTAACCAGGAGGTTCACGCTGTGACTATCCAAGCTCAGAGCCACGCTGCAGAAAGCCACTCTCAAACTCCGGAGACCCAGGTAAGACATGCTTCCCCCGACCCTGACGGTAGAGCACGTACCCTGGGACACCCCTGAAGATTTTGGGAAAGAGGTAGCGGGAGACCCCACTTTGCTAAGATACCAGGAAAAGGCCATCTCTGACCCAGGGGGACTGGATGGAGAACAGTATGTGTGGGACGAAGGCCGGTTGTATAGATTTACAGATTCCCAAACCAAAGCCCCGGGGCCAAGGCAAAAACGTCAGCTAGTGGTACCCCAGAAATACAGGCAGGAGCTGATGAGGATTGGGCATGATATTCCATTAGCCGGACATTTAGGGATTAGACTGACGGCGTACCGAGTAACCCAAAACTTCTTCTGGCCGGGAATCTCTAACGATGTCTGGCGGTATTGCAAAACGTGCGAAGTATGCCAGCGGGTGGGTAAGAAGGGTAACCACCCTAAAGCTAAGATGTTCCAATGCCCATAATTGAAGAACCCTTTAGTCAAGTCGCTGTAGACTTAATAGGACCCCTAGCTCATCCCAGCCGCTCAGGTAAAAGGTACATACCCACTCTAGTCGACTTCGCCACTAGATATCCTGAAGCGGTAACACTGTCTAACATTGAGGCAGAGACAGTGGCGGATGCCCTGGTCAAGGTGTTCTCATGAGTCGGATTTCCCCAGGAAATCCTATCAGACCAGGGTACCCAGTTCATTACCACTGTGACCCAGCAGTTGTGGAAGGTCTGTGGGATAAAACCCCTGACTAGCTCCTCGTACCATCCCCAGACCAACGGTCTATGTGAGCGGTTCAATGGGACTCTGAAGCAGATGCTGAAGGGACTGGGAGCGATTCCTGCCGCACCTCCTTTTTGCTTACCGGGAGGTCCCGCAGGAATCAACAGGGTTCTCCCCCTTTGAGTTGTTATACGGGAGGCGAGTGAGGGGACCCCTAGACCTGATTAGGGAGCATTGGGAGGGAGCTACAAAGTCAGCAGGGACCCCGGTGG